CACCCCGACACCCGCCCCGCCGTAATTTCCGTCATCGCCATAATGGTCGCTCAACAATTCACCGGAATCAACAGCATAGTAATGTACGGCGTAGGGCTCCTTTCCTCCTTACTCAGCACCAACGCCGCCCTCCTAAATGTCTTCGTGGCCCTGGTCAACATAATCATCACAACATCCTGCGCACCCCTTGCAGATAAGTGGGGTCGAAAACGAAGTCTTCTCCTCTCGATAACCGGTATGGGAATCTCATCTATCCTGCTCGCGATTGGCATGATGAACAGCATTAAATTGCTATCTGCACTCAGCGTTATCTTATTCGTTGCGTCTTTCGGGCTCGGGCTAGGTCCCATACCTTTCATCCTGGCCTCCGAACTCGTGAGTTCCGAAGCCGTCGGCGCGGTACAAAGCTGGGCTTTGGCAGCCAATTGGATCGCGACATTTGTCGTTGCGCAGTTCTTCCCTCTGATCAACGAACGCATGGGAACAGGACAGGTGTATTTCATTTTTGCGGCTTTTGCGCTTGTGTTTGGCGGGTTCATCGCGTGGTATGTGCCTGAGACGCTAGGGAAGAAGGATGCGGATGAAGTTTGGGGGCGGAGGAAGGTTGGTGGGTTGGAAGATTGAATTGGAGCGTGTCTTTTGTGGTGGTTTGCGGGAAATGGCGTTCAAGGGCGCAAGCATTCATCCGGGGTTCACAGGACTGGTGTTGGGATTTGTACGAGATGCATTGAGTTTCCTGAGGAATTCCTCGCCAGGGCAGAGACTTCAATTGTAAGCAATGCCCGAGGGTCAGCAAATCAACAATCTTCGGTATACCAGGCATCACAGAGTCCGAATTGGTCGCACTGTGCGAGTCAAGCTGCGCGCAGTTCGCCGTGGTAGCGTTCAGTGCTGAAGATCTTTGAATATGAGCCAGTTGACCTACCAGCTTTCTATCACAATGAAGGAAGCGAAAAGCCGCAGAACGTTACGAGTTCATTAACATATAGCTATAAAGATGCATATCTGCTGCTGCTGCTGCTTGCTTCCATTTCATCTCATCTCATGTACACGTTCCCTTTCTGACCCAGCAATTCTACACTCGTCCGAGGCTGTGAATCCCAGGCTGTATTTGTATTGGCTCACTCAAATCAAGCGAGTCTCATCTGCGAACGCGAGCGAGTCGAAGTGAAAGCAATAAGCAATAAGTGCATAGGAACCAGTCCCATCATCTCCTCTGGCCATCTCTAAGCCGCAGCCTCAATCTGAATCATCCTCTCCACCGCCTCATCGACATCAATGCCCACACCATACTGCTCAATCGCATCCTGCGCCCTCGGCACACCGATCAAAGCAATCGTGCGAGGAACAACCACATCCTGAACCTGGAAGCACCCGAATGCGACGAGTTTCTTCAGGCTAGGACAGCTGCGGAAGATACCAGTAATGACCGCATTATCCACACTGTTGCAGAAGCTAACGTTGATGTACTCCAGAGCAGGGTAGTTCTGGCTGCCGTTGAAGACGTCCATGAAAGCGGACAGCTCAACGTGGCGGCAGGAAGAAATGTCGAGGTGTTTCAGGTGAGAGCCGGAATGGGCCATGAGAGCTTTGAAGCCGGCGGAGGCCAGACCGATAGGCGCTTCGGGCCCATCTGGATTGCTGTTGTCGACGTCTCGCATGCTGTTGAAATCGACAAAGGTAAGAGGCGGATTGGACCAGTTGGTGAAGAGGTCGACGAACGATTCATCGACTGCGTAGTCATTCTCTGATATGCGCAGTTTGGTCAACTGGTGGCAGTTGTCGTGAATGGCTTGCAGGATGTTTTCGTCCACCTCGTAGTTTTTCTCGAGTGAGAGGGTGCGGAGTTGTGGTCCGCGCTTCTGCACGAGGTCGAGAAGTATGTCGACATCGAGAGAACTGCTCATCATGAGGGACAAACGTTCGAGCTTCGGCATCTCTGCGATGGCTTGAAGAGCACCGTTTCCAATACGACGACACATCTTCAGCTTCAGGCGCTTGAGATTGGGGCAGTATCTCAGCATGTCCTGCACCACTGTGTCGTCAAAAGCAGCATCGAGCCACTTGAGCATGACAGACTCCAGATTCCCGCCGAGCTCGCGAACCAGACGTTGCCACATTCCGTTAGAAACGAGGTTAGCCGCGTAGAGCTGGATATGCTTCAGGTTTTGGCATCGCTCTAGCATGTAGTCGATAGCCTTGTCCTTGAGTTGGCAGCAGTTCTGCAGCACGAGCGTCTCCATCTTTGGCACCATGGCAAAGATCTGATGATAGTCCTCTTCTTCGAGATACGCTGCATCGTGGAGTATGACGGCATCCAGGTCTGGTCGGAGAAAGAGCGGCAGTGCCTTCGGCTTGAGTACACGCTTCTTGGAGAAGATCTGGCTGAGTCGCTCAAGGAGTGGTTGAGGCATGTGTCCGAGATCATCGACATCTTCGTGGAACTCCACAGCCTTCGCGATACAGAGTTCCTGTAATGTCTTCGCTCCACCAACCGTGTACCCGTCAAGACGATCGCTCTCGATCTTTCGCCGCTTTCTGCCAACCGGCTTCGGAGCCGCAGCTTTCTTCTCTTTCTTGAGATCCTTCGTAAGCTCTTTTCCGCAAGGCGTGCACAGCAGACCACCATCAGGTCCCTCTTTGTTGTATGGCGTGACAGTGAATCGCTTATTGCAAAGCTCGCAGTTCTCGAGTTGTCCAGGAGCAGGCCGCGACTTCTTGTACATGTCCTTTGCGAAATCCGCATCGAAGTCGCTATCATCGTCGTCCGAATAGTCCCTTTTGCCTTTCTTCTTGCCGTTCTTCGACGAAGATGCTTTCGCCTTTTTAGCCTTCTCCTTAGCTTCCTCTGTGACTCGCTTGCGCTTTCTGCTCTTTTCGACCTTCTCTGCTTCTTCCGCTGCCTCCGCCGCTACAGCGGCAGCTACTGCCTCGTCGTCGGCACTCGTCGGCGTTGGCGCATTCGAGGCCTCCTCGGAGGCGGTTTCCGCTTCGCGTTGTCGTCGTCGTCGCTCGAAGTCATCGCGGATTTGCTGTGCAGAGATGTTGTTTGCCTAGCACAATTTAGCATACCACTTCTATGTCGCATTGGTGGTCTGGACCTACGGCAAGGTAGTCTGTCAGTGCGGAGTTGGGACCGCGGATGGCGCGGCCAGTGCCTCTTCTGCCCGACATGCTGTTTGGTGTATTGAGTTCTAGCAACGAATGAGCGAAAGGGTGCGATGTCTGTAGCAGAAGTGGTTGTCCAAGCCGAACAATGCAGGCAGGTGGCAACCTAGGAGTTGAAGTTCCGCGCCAGGGTCCATCTGACCCATTAACGCGTCCACGCGTAAAGTGGAAAATGCCAAAACACGTGACAGCGATTTCACATGCCAACTCAATGGATTGTCAGATGTCATTACCAAACGGCCATATGCAAGAAGGGGTAATCGCCAATGATCAGTGAAACTCCGCCTGTACACTCCCATACTTGACCCCGTCCACCCTCAATTCAAACACCAGTCCGGTCTCAATGTACATCCGCAGCTCGAAATCCAGGTTCATGAACTCGACGCCTTTCGTTGTTGTTAATCTCGTGAAAAGTCCAGGCGGGACGGCCGAAAGATCTGTTGTAAGCGTACAGAGACTGCGCAAACTCTTGTTGTACGCGTCTGGAGCTTCGTCAAAATCGCAAGCGATCAACTCGTCTTCTACCACGAGGGACTGTCCTGGGCGGAAATTGCGTGTGTAGTGGAATGATATGGGTGTCTCGGGGGCAATAGACGTGCCCTACAAGTGTGTTAGTAACGTCTTTGCAATGCTCGACTGCACGACACTGCTCACCTTGGCGATGTGCCATTGCATGCGATCGGAGACTGGCCAGCAGAGTCAGCAGGCGTTCAACTCTAGATTTGATGAACAAGACATACCCATCCATTTCTCCCATAGCGGCGACCAGTAACGATCGGTGGCGGGATGCTTGTTCTCGTCGTAAACAGTCGCATAGCTTGTGCCATAGTGGAATCGCGCTTGACGCTTCTCAACCAGACTCCCCTCGAGACCACGGATAACAGCTCCTCTCACAACGGCCGTCCATGCATGCAAAGGCTGCAGCACTTCAACAGCCGTCTGCAGCGCCTTCGCAGCCTCATGAGTCGGTTTCTCGGTATACTGCGGTGGCGGATTCTGGTTGAAATGCTCCTTGAGCTTCTTGTACAAGTAGTTGCTCTGCCCGAAGCCTCCCACAAGGATGATGCCAGAAACGGTGCCACCGTTATCCCGAATAGCATTGACTTGACCTTCCACAAGCTCAATACAATCCGCGATAATGGGATCAAAGATGTTCTTGACCTGCTCAGCTGTCATGACCAGAAATCCACTTTCGAGACCAGCATCTTCATCATCGGGCAGACCAGGGAATGGCACATTAACTTCACCGTGCTCTTCTTCGTTAAAGTTACGCTTGATGAACTCTTCAAAGTACTTGAGACCCATCTGCCACGTCTTCGGCTTCTTTTCTCGCATGTTATCGTAGCGCTCTTGCCCGATGCGTTGTCGCACCGCATCCTCGAAGCGATAATTCAGCATTGCAGATCCGCAAAGCCCGCCCGAGCCGACGTTACTTTCCTCAATGCGAAGAGGAGCAGCATGCGTGATCTTGTATGCTATCAGATCTACCGTACCTCCCCCTGCATCGCAGACAATGTAGTTCTCTCCCACTTTGAGGCTGCTCGGCTGCATGCTCTTCAGTGTGTACACAGCAGCCGCTTCCGGCTCGGATATGAGTCGCAAGTCGTGTCTGTCGCCCATGCCAGCTTTTTCGGCTGCCTGCAGTGTTGAGTTCTTGGCCGCATCTGACCAGACTGCAGGCACTGTAAGGACGAACGACACTGTCGTAGAACTCATGAACCCTTCACCATATCTTCTCGTCAATGTCTCCATCGTATGCTCGTAGATCTTGGTCAGGTAGTCCGTGACCGCATTGAAGACTGTTCGATCGCTCTTTCGAAGAAGTGCTGCCGTTTCGAGTGGGCTGACGAAGTGTGGTAGTCTCTGGTTTCGGTCGAGGAACAGCTTTATGCAGCGAAGACGACTCTCCTCCGGCTTGAACTGAAATCCCCATCGAATCTGTACATTGTCGCCATCTTGTTGCCCGCCATCATTCTCGCCGTTCACTGGTGCATCGGTCGTGGTATACGCGATCTCGGTCGGGACCTTGTCAGATGTTATGCCATTGCCCCCAGGCCATGACTTGATGATGTCTATGTCGTCAGGAGTGGCCTGACATTGGGCAAGATACGTTAGTTACAGGAGCCCAAGAACGGTTTGTGCACTGCCTTCCTTGTTGCTGTCAACACGCTAAAACACGTACACTGTAAGCTGCGGCTACACCAGAGTAAGTGGTGCCGAAGTCAACACCCACGATGAGTCTATCCTGTGTATCGTCTGGGATTTCAGGAACCGAGAGGTCGGCCTCTTCCAGTGTGAGCGTTGCCAACGAAGCTGTCGCTGCTGCCATGGGAGTTTCTTTGTGACTGCTACCGTTTCCGTTGCGCGTCATCCTGCCCGCGTGTCCGTGGATCGCGCTTGCGTAGATCTCATCCGTCGCGCGAATTCGACCACAGTCAGACTCCCATCAGTCTACCTCCTGTAGAGCTGCCGCGTGGATAAGGAACCAAGCCCGCTCGAGGCTTTGGATCAGCCTCTCAATCTGGTAGCCCGCATTGACTTTTGTGGAAGCCACCATCCATATATTTCCAGCCTGAGCAGTTCGTCGCAAGCTGTCAGCTGTCCGGTCTGAAATTACCCGAAACGCCTTTCAGTCGACGGGGAGCAGGGCGAAGCCTGGACATGATGTGCGGCATCCACCTGAAGCCAGAATTGCGCATCAGCTCTCTCAGCCTGTGGGTTTAGTGTGCAGATCCGCCTCCAAATGGTCGAAAGCTTGCTGGCAACCTCCACACTCCTGAGTTTTGTGCGCGTGCATGGTGGCATTCCGCATGCATGACAGCGGAGATGGCGGAGCCGAACACTCATCACACAGGCTCTTGGATCTGGCCACTGTTCCTGGGTAATTTGAAACAGCTTCGCTCGTCATTGTAGAACCAGATACTGGCGGGCTCGTCGATAGGCGAACACCTCCAGTTCACCACTCGCAGTGCTGTCGAAAATGCCGGTATCACCGTGATCGACAAGCGCTGAAGTGTATACATATGATGACTGCCGTTGAAGGAATCAATAGCAGATCCATTACGGCTGTAGAAGAGATGGAGCCGAAGAGCGTGGCCGGTCAGATTGGGGAAGCGGGTGAACCGCCTCTAGCTGAGACACAGCCAGCATCGAGCGCCGAGGCCATAGTCGAGACCGTATTGGAAGTGCCGCCCAGGACGCCATTGCAGGACAAGAGCACAGTGGGTAGTCCACCTGGATCGGACAGTCGTGAGGGTCTGCGGCGGACCACGCCAAAGATCGCCAGCTTGAAGGCCACCTTCGAGCGGTCTCAAAGCGAGGGATCCCTGAAAGGCACGCGCAAACTCGAAAAGAGCAAGAGCCCAAGTCGTAATGGCGAGCACGACGCCGAAGCCCTCAGAGCCAAAGACGAGGAGATTGCAAAGTTGAAAGACCTGCTGGAGAAAGAGACGGAGTTGAAACAGGCACTAGAGGACAAGTGCAATGCACTGGAAGAAGATGTCGAAAGACTGGAGTCTGAATTGGAACAGCACGATGGAGATTGGCGGGCGGAGATGGATCAACAGAACAAGAAACTCGCGCTGGAAAGAGACAGAGCGCAAGATGCATTCGTGGAGATCAAGCGGCAGCTCTTGGGCTTGAAGCGCAGCATCTCAACGTCAACGCGCGTAGACAGCCAATATCCGGACTTGAGCTTCACTGCAGAAATGCAAAACCTCTATCATGAAATGCAGAACTGGGTCGTGAATACTTTCCGCCGCATGAAAATGGAGCGTCCAGCTGAGGAAATGCTCGCCAGCCTGGAAAGTGTTGTAGAGTCCAAACATCTGGACTATCTGCGTCCACTATTTCGGGACTGGGAACCAGCGAACAAGCTTGCAGCGCTGCAGGCGGTGGTCGCTTGCTATCTGATGGAGGTATGGAACGATCCATTACTTTTTGGCCTACCTGTCTGGCGAAAGGGCGTCAAGAAAGCCACGGAGACAATGTCAGCGATCCTGCCAAATTCATCTTATGACAAGTGGCGAGCAGGAACTCTGGACACGATCAAGCAGAATGCCGATATCAAAGACGCTGTTAATTCTGCTGCTAAAGCATTGAGCGAAATGATCTGCATAACCTTGACTTCGCTTACTGGAGCGGAAGAGTCTGCTGCTATGAGCTCTTCACTGCACGCAATCGTCAAGCGCGTCGTGTCTCTGTCGCACGTCTTTCGTGTGCAGCATGCCCAATACCAATTTGTTCTACCCGAGCCTGGGTCGCCGTTCGATCAAGCAAGGATGGATGATACCTCCCTCGAAGCCACATCTTCTTTCAATGCGATAACATGCGCTGCTTTCCCTCTTGTGCTCAAACTGGGTCATGGCTCTGGAGAGGATGTCGAACCAACACGTGTCGTGGTCAAGGCTAAAGTCATATGCCGTCCATGAAGGTATTGCGCTGGATTAGTCGTCTGCTCGGCTTACAAAGTGCGCTCTCTGCGACGCCCACTAGAACTGCTGCGTGGCCGGTCGTTGTTGTTCCTGCCGGGCTGTTCCAACCATTCAGTGAAGCTGGTGCCCGTGTTTCCCAAGGTCTCTGTGCGAGTACGATCGAGCTGACGGGGCTCTGGGCGCGGACGACGGTCAACGACACGATCCTGGTTCTCGTGCTCGCGGCCAAGTCTGGCATCGTGACGGTGCGACAGAGTGACTGGGCTTGGTGGAATGCTAGTGACTGGCGTGCCTGATCCGGAGGGTGTCGCAAAGTCACGAACAACGATAGGTCCATGCCTGCCTGTACGCTCTGTCGCTTCGCGGGTCGTGGTGCCGTAATTCTCGACAAGGTGCAGTTGCTGCATGCCATTCTCCAGCGCGTTGAATGAGCCGGTGAAGATGCGCGGCCGACTCTGCCCGCTGCGTCTGGTTCTGACAACGGATCCCAGCTGAGGCGGACCTGCGATGCCCTCTTCGGCGATGTAGTTGCTCGGCTCGATCGTGGCAGCCCGGTTGTGTTGGCCGCGTCTGTGTACTTGTTCTTCTACTGCACTAAACGACATCATGGCGTTGGCTGGTGGCAATGGCGCGCTCAGAATGCCAGAGTAGTTGGAAGGGGCGCCATATTGAATACTTGGTGCTTGGCTCGCGGCCGGAAACTCTTCGTCGTCTTGTTGAGCGCGAGTTGCTAGGTCTGGAGTAGGAATTCTCGACGCGTCTCTGGTTGCGGGCTTGAGCGCCGGAGGTCTGCGACGATAAGCAGTCTTGGGAGCAGGCAGTGTCTCTTTCAGCTCAGTCCGGAGTGCCTCGACTCGCTGTGCTTCATGCTCGGCAGAGTTCTGTGGTGTCTTGTGCGTGATCTCGGCCGTCTTGGCAGTAGTGCTGCTCGCTGCAGACTTTTGTTGTTGACGGGCAGCGCGCTCGTCGGCAGCCTTCTTGAACAAGTGGTCGCACACTTCAATCTTCTGCTGCGTGCATGCCTTGTCGTTCTGCGCGGTGTCATACCTAGGTCGAGGAAGAGATTGTTAGTACGTGTTGATTCGAGAATGCGCGACGCCGGTAGTCAGGGGTTTGACTGAGGCGCGCGCGACTCTCGGCGCCGATCTACTCACAGGATTTCCATGCGCATGTTCATGAAGTCTAGAGCACCTTTGACGGTCAACAACTCTCCGTCCTCGAGGCTGGCAAGCGCTGGGTGGTACAGCTGTTCGCAAAAGGTCATCGACAGCAATTCCAATGTTGCTGCGAGGGTGGTGAAGATGTCTCTGCAGAAGTCGTCAGCGAGTACAGTCGGTAATGGTCACTGCGATACAAACCTGAATCTCTCGAGCTGCGTGTGGACGACTTGGATCTCCAGCTTAAATGGGTTGTGCTGGCCGTGATGGGCTGGGACATTGAGCTCTCGGGCTTGTTGGCCATGTTCTCTCAAGTTCTCGCGGTACGTCCGCATCTGCATGTTGATGGTCTGGATCTCGGGCATTGCGCGCTCTGTGGTCTGTTGTGGCGACTGCAGGCCCTCCAGGTAGCGCTTTATCTCTTCGTGGACGCGCGAGACGGAGCAGAAGAGGCGACACATGGTTGCGTTGTCGGCCTCGTGGAGACGGAGCTCCCGCAGTTGGCGCACTGCCTCGGGGATGTCGCCGGCCATCTCGAGGGCGAGGAGGTAGGCGGCGAGGTTGGAGATGTGGGCGAAGTGCCGTTCACCTGGGAGGACATCGTTAGCCGCGAGTTCAAACCTCGCCCACCCAACGAGGTGGGCGAGTTCACGTCGTCGTTGCTCCATTGGCGGCTGGCAAGGCCCGGCGGTCTGGTCTGGCGTGGCGATGGCAGGGGATGAAGAAGATGAACAGGGTGGGAAGAAGGAATCGGAAGAAAACTTACCTCACCGTCGCCTGCACGCGCGGATGTGAAGTTCTGTCGCCAACGGTCGCGAAGGACACATGTTCGGCAGGTGCGATTAGGCTGCACACATGAAGCACAACGGTGGAAATCGTCGAACACATCCATGGTCTCTCACGAAATACGAATTCCCAGCCATTGAAACAACATCGGCGCCGTGCTGCTACCAAACATAGTGAACAGAGAAAGGTGAATGCGGTCTGTATTCACCTGTCGAGACAGAGATCTCTATTCGATTCACGACCTGAATTTTCCTTCTAATCCAACAATGGCGCCACGAAAGGCGCCTGTCTTCTGGAAGCATTTTCAGCACCCTCTAATCACTCAAGTTACAGGCGGGTTGCCAGGCCGTCCTGTTTCCATATGTACTTGACCGGCTCGAGCAGCCAGCAGAGATGCAGTTCCCATAGTGCCAAGAAATGGTAGGTGAGCGGTATGTACGGGATGCAATACAGAACGGAAATGAAAACAACAGTACCCAACAGTCGATTAACACGAGACAGGAACTTTCATTGAAGACGAAGAAGAGTGTTACGAAGAACGTGGTCATGATGTTCATTATCAAGTATACACATTAATCATTTCGCTGCTTTCACTGATATGATTTTGGGGGTATCTCTACCAAGACATCTTTCAATCTCAACATCCACTCATCCCCTCTCTTCTACTTTACAACGATCGCTTACAAAGCGAGGACAGCAGCCATGGCACCACCGACAACACCTCCCATGACTGGAAGGAGCGAACCGGCACCACCAGTGGACTGCTCTGGCATACCTCCAGTGGCAGATGGCATAGAACCAGATCCGGAGCCCATACCACCACCCATGGTCTGGGATGGCATAGCGGAGCCAGTAGCGGACATGGTGGCAGTGGCTGGCTCCATGACGGCCTCGTAGGCGTCGCAAGTAGCGCTCTCAGTGGCGATTGGGCAGTCCTCAGCAATGCAGATAGCCTGGAGCTCAGCAGAGGCAGTTGGTGGGATGGCAGCTGGTGGAGCGCATCGGTAGCCGAAAGCGTTGGTCAAGGCGGTGCCAACAGCAGTGACATCGTCGTCGGTGACACCGAAGGACTTGGCGGCAAGACCAACTTGGGTGATGAAGTATCCGACCTCAGCGTTGTTGAGACCCATGTACTTGTGCACGGAGTACTGGGAGACATCACCCTCGTACTGGCCGGTGGAGTTGCCGAATTGGGAGCAGCCCAAGAGAACGGCGAAGTACTGGTAAAGGTGGGTGAGGAGGCGGCTGATGACAAATGTTAGTTGCTGGAACATAGGAGTCGCATCTCTTGGTGATGAGCTTACTATTGAGCAGAGTCGGTACCGTTGGCTGGCATGTTCATCATGAGAGGAGCAGCACCACCATCGTCGAGGAAGTTGACGGAGCGAGGCATGCCGCCAGCGTTGGTCGAGACGAGCTCGCCATTGAAGTATGGGAGGAGGTTCACACCCTCGAAGTCGCCGGTACCTGGAGCCAAGATACCTGGGACAGCGACCAGAGAGCCTGGGTTGGAGGTGTAGTTGCCAATGACGGCAGTGTTGACAACCAAAGTCAGGACGGTCTGCTGGTTGGTCGCGTTGTTCTCCATCAACAGGGCAGTGGTGTAGTAGTCGCAAATGGACTGGTCAGCTGGTCTCTGAGCAGAGACGGCAGCAGCGGCACCAAGGCCGAGAGCGACGGCGGAAGACTTCATGTTGATTGTCTTGTTTGGTTAACGACAGAAACTGACTGAACGATTCTGCAGATGATTGTGAGAGAGCAAAAGACGGATTCTCAAAAACAAAGAAACACGAAACCGGCGGACAGCGAATAGAAGTACTCTCAATGCCTCTGACACGGTTACCAAAACCGTTTAGTCAGGCACAATGGCTTCCACATGAATGGCCCAGCGCCAAACCCCTCTCAGCCGTGGATAGTCCTTCATGCCCTCTTTGGGAGATGACCTTCAGTCCAAGGAATGCACCACTGTGAACAACCTCACATTCCACATCGTGGAATCGAGGCCAGGCCCGGACTACCCAACTTCCGTGGACGGCTCACTGAGTCTCCGGCGCAGCACCCACCCAATCACAGAACCTTGATTACGACCACCTACAGATCTGGACAACGATAATAAGCTTGAATTTAAGAACTTTGCACCCGACCACAACTCAAATCGTCAATCCCACCAATCACGTTGTTTCAAGATGTCAGCTGATGGCACTTCACCTGTAAACAGACTTTGTGGAGATGAGATCCTTCTGGCTTCTTCCGCTCTGCAGTGTTGCTGTAGCGGGCAAGTGCAGCGAATATCTCGATCAGCGGTACAGAATCGTCCACGTCAACGGCTGGGACGGGCTTTTGTGGCCGACAATGTGTCTCGTCTCGTGTCTTGCTGCAGGCCGCGCACGTTCGTTGAACATGGATGATTACTGTTTCTGGGTTTCTCCGGGTCGTGCGCCTGCAGACGAAGTCTCTTGTCTCTTGTCTCTTGTCTTGTCTTGTCTCAGAGATAAGCAGGAGGTTCGCGTGCGAACGCACAATGTGATCAGTAATGCCTGTTGTCTGTGTTTTATATTTCGATAGCTCGACCATGCGACAGAGCTATAATCTCACCGCAAATGTGGCTTCTGCGGCAACGTGCTCCGGTCGAAAAGTAAATTTGTAATAGCTCAATGCAAAGAAACTAATATGAAGAACCACGCGCGCCAAAATACAAGCGCAACACATCCTCATCGTTTCTGCGCCGTGCGTGAAATGAGTCCACTCTCCGTCGACCGCTGCGACAGATTTGCTGTGACAGTTGGGGCACTTGTTGGGTACAACACAACTTGTACACCGTGTACAGGCCATGCCAAAACAAGCCTCGCGTGTCCACATGCAAGGGAAAGGCTTGATTCCCCGCACGCAGGGCGTTCGCGGGCTGCAGGCTGTGTGCAGCAACAACAAAAATCAGCGAACAAATCATGCCGCGTTGCCGCGCGTGCTCTCATCATCATAGACCACATTCCTACGCCCGCTCTGGCGGCCCGATTCGAAACAATTCCAGTTTGACATAGCAGTGACGACAACGCGAATGCGATGTGATGACGATGACATGTCGCTTCCACCATACATCTGTATACTAATCAGATTACCAAGCAGCACATTCGAGTAGCAGAAAGAGCCGGTTAGTCAAGGAGAGGATACGACCAACACAAAACTCTGGAAACGGAAGGATTGTCTAGAATCTCAAGCTGCGACGAAGGTCACAACTCGATATCGATTTCTTCTGGTTGTTCTCTTCAAGGAGTGACTAAAGCTAGTTATGTTATCTTGTCCAATGTTCTCAGATCTGGTGCGTGCGAGTGCAGCACGTTCCAGAAAGCAGAGAGACAACGTGTTCTTGCCCAAGCAAATTGCACTTGCAGCGATCGTTGGACGTCGTGTTGTTCACCGCCTGGACGCATACTTGTACCTGGCAACAGGCAGGCCATCAGTAAGAGCTAGCAAACAGACAGCTTGATTCGGACACCGCAGCTACGCGCGTGCGCACGCGAGAGGACGCGATATTATGAAGCTGCTATGGTGATGTGCCGCCGGTCTGGCAAATGTAGTCGCATCGAGCAAAGGGTATGTACCAGTAACGATGCGAAGCTCGATACTGACGACGACGGCGGGATTGTCGTATTGCTCTTGCTGGAATGACCAGTGGGCGTGCACAAAAGGCATCTGAAGGCGTGCTTGGTTGAAGAGGATCCAGGCGGCATGAACGGGTAATGACCGTCCGACGACATCCTGTCAGATACACAGTTTTTCATGATGCTGACAACAGTAGCACATTCATTCTTTCATCAAGCGTGAGGTGTATGGTAGTCATGCTCCGAACACCATGGTATCGTCCATCAATCAGTCGTAGCCTCCGCCACCACCGACTTGGCTAGCGAATGCGGTGCTGACGCTGCTCTGCGCGTCGTCCTCCAAAGCCGCTCGGTTTCTGCCAGCTCCTATCGGGGGCTGTGGTGGTCCCTGGCCTTCCACGTAGCGACGGAGCTTGTCAGACTGAGACAGCGAAGCTTGCTTGTTCAGGTCGTTAATGCTCAAGCCTGCAAGGCTCACGCCACCTTGACCTGGCTTGAGAGAGCCGTTCGTGGTGACATCAGTAATCTCACTTGCGGCGACACTCTCGCCAGCAACGGACTCCGGTGGAGCGCGCATGTGATTGCCGTGGCCCATGTGACGGCGCTGGTCAGCAGGGAGAGTAGGCCATGACTCCTGGAAACCTTGGAACATGGTTGGGAACTGATTGGGCAGAGCCGCGCCTCCTAGTGCCGAGGAGTGGATGGAAGAGACATCATCAGGGATATAACCGACGATGCTGCCATCGCCCTGAGGCCCGTCACGACGACCATTCACACGAGCTCCGGTAGCAGCGGCCATGTGGTTGGCATGCTGATAAGCCATCTGGTAGCGTTGTGGACCCCTGTAGGAAGTCTTCGGTCGGCTGAACTGCAACAGTGAGACTTGGAGGTTGTTGAGCGGGCCTTCCACCAAGCAGTTCCGCTCCTTGAAGTGAAGCAAGAGGTAGTGCCACAGCGGATGCTTGCTCAGGACCTTGGGGTTGCCAAGAATGACGAGTCCATACTTGGCTCGAGTCAGAGCAACGTTCAGACGTCGAGGGTCGCTCAAGAAACCAATGCCCTGGTGATCATTGCTACGAACGCAAGAAAGAACAATAAAGTCCTTTTCTCGTCCCTGGAATGCATCGACGGAGGCAACTTCGATCTCCTTATAGAGCTCCTTCTTGAAAGTGCCTGTCTGCTGCATGCTTTGAACAACGTAGGAGCGCTGGCCTTCGTATGGGGTGATGATACCGATCGCATCTGGCTTGACTCCAGCCTTGAAGAAGCGTGTGACGATCTTCTCGACATTGGAAGCCTCGGTGCGATTCAGGTAGGACGTTCCTGATGCACTGATTTCCTCAGTACCCAGGTTCGACCAGAACATCATTGGTGAGTCCGCCACTGGCCAGGGGAACTCTACGTCCTTGCGGAGGCGCTGTTGCATGGTAATACCATTCTGCAGAGAGCCTTCGTAGAACATGTTGGATGGGAATTCAGAAAGACAAGGATGCATACGGTACTGCACTTGGAGGCGAATTGGCGACAAGCCGAGAATGACCAGACGCTCGAAGAGTGACTGGTTCAGACCAGCCTTGGCGGCCTTCTTGTTCATGATGACCGGGCCCAGCTGTTGGTGGTCACCAACGAGCACCACCTGCTTGCATCCAAGAACCAATGGAATCATGCACTCGGGTTCAGCAGACTGTGTGCTCTCATCGATCAGAACAGTTCTGAACTTGAACTTTGCCAGACGTGGATCTCCAGCACCCACGCAAGTACAGCAGATGACGTCGGCGTTTTGGAGAATCTCGCGCTCAGCAGCACGGGTGAGCGTCTTGAACTTCTTCTCATCTTGGCTGGACAATTCACCAAGCTCCGACTTGAGTTGATTGAGCTTGTTGAGTTCAACATTGGTATCGTTCATGGCGACCTGGCGGTGAAGAGACAAGAAGCCAACATTGGACTCAACATCCTCGCGGGACTTCGCAGTTACACGAACGACCTTCAAGCCAGTCAAGTGTATGCGCTCGCAAAGCTGGTCCACGGCAACGTTGGATGGTGCACAGACGAGGACTTGTCCACCGTTCATCTTGGACAGATGGTAAATGATAGTTGCTGAAGTGACTGTCTTTCCGGTACCTGGAGGACCTTGAATCAGGCTGAGTGGCTTCTGCAGTACCGATTTGACTGCTTGGATTTGCGAACTGTTGAGATCAGGCAGATTGGGGACGCTGAACTTCTTAGGCATCTGGACCTTCATCGGCGCTGCAGCAACTTCGTGTCCGAGCAAGCGGTGAAAGATGTATCCTGACACTGACATCTCGTCAATCGCAAAAGTCTTCATGGCGTGTTGCATGCGATCGAACGAAGTTGCTTTCCAAACGTAATCGGCAGTGAAGTTGTGTGTGCACTCGGTGGGCACTGATTTGTGATCGCCACGCGACCTCAGCTCAATCGTCACTTCGTCAGACTGGTTGTTGGGGATCTTGATGACATAGCCCACGCCCTCCCAGTGCGGACGTAGCTCGCCGGTGTATCGAAGTCGCATCTCATCTCCTACCGCAAGCTTGACATCTCCGAGCTCGAGCTTCGGAAGAACAAATGAAGCAAGATGCTTGTTGTTCAAACCAAAATCCCAGCGCACGACCAAGTTGTCCTGGCTCTGAGCTTCCTTCAGCTTGCGATCATAGTCTGCTTCGATCTTGACCAGCGGGCCGAAGACATTTTGATATTGGTAGGCATCGTCGTATCGCAGCAGAACCGGTGCTGGCTCATCATCGATGCCCGCGCTCTTTTCCAAATCCTCAATCGTTGCACTGCTGTTATCCTTCCACAGCTCCTCAAGTTTAGCAATGACCTGAGGTGGCAGGTGACGAGCACGCATCTGTTCCTGATCGGTGGGAGAATTGACGAGCCACGAAAGGAAAGATCGATCTTCGATCAACGGTTGCCACTTCGCGGTGTCCCAGTTCATGTCCTTGCTGCTGGGCTGTGCGGCACATGGCTGGCGGCAGAGCAAAACGACGACGGTGTCGCTCTTCGCCGGAATAAAACCCAGCAGAAATACATTTTTCGTACCGCAGTTGTAGCACTCAAGTGTGGTGTCACCCAGTGGAGAAGACGGGTGCAGCTGAACCTCCTTGTGCCTCGCTCGAACCAAGTGATTGATGATATGGCTGCTGGAGGTATTGCCTCGCGCAGAACAGAACCACTTGGAGCAGGTCAGACACTTGACAACTGAGCTCGGGTTGTGAATGCCACAGTAGGCGCAGGCGTGAGCAGGCAGCTCCACTTGCTCCTCTTGGCCAGGCCCAGCTTGACCGTTCACGCCGTTGGCATGGCTGGCCAGCGACTCAAGATCGTCGTCCTCGTATACGTCTGCATCGTCATCGTCGCCCACTCGTCTTCTCCGGGGGCCGCCGTTCAGGGCAGCATCCAGTGTGGAAGTGTCATCGCCTTCGTTGATGGCGGAAGCCGAGTCACCTACGAGATGATTGGCGACATTGGTGAATGTGCCTTCCATGCCGTGTCGGCGCACAGACGGGCAGAATCGCGGTTGCGGCGGTGGTTGTTGGTGGGTTGGTGGAATTTAGCGTTGGCCGGAATCGTGGCCGCGGCGGTGGTGTGACGGGTCGCGGGCCCGGCGCGGAGGGGGTGGAGTTGTGCGAAGGAGCGTCGGGAGAGGGTGCTGGGGTTGTCGTCCTCGTCAGCAAAGGCGAAGGACCGGCGCACGGTGGTTGGTGCGAAGGGAAGAAGGTAGCAGTCTGGCGATGGCGGAAGAGCGTCTGGTCGATCCGCGCTTGGCAGTGGATTGAAGACCCTTGCTTCATCGAGACTTTATTTCTTTGCGCCGCTTGCTGCGACTGTGGCTTGCTGGGACAACAACTGCAGCCATCATGATCCGGCGACAAGCACGACAGCGCCGGGACTATCTGTACCGTCGCGCGCTGACCTTGCGCGATGCCGAAATCTCAGAAAAGCGTGCAAAGCTAAAGGCGTCACTGGCATCAGGCAAGCCGCTCGATTCGAGCATCGCCAACGATAAAGAGCTGCGCCGGGATTACAAGTACGATGAATCGCGAGCAGATCGTACTAATGAAGAGGAGCTGGAGTTGGACGATGAGTATAGCTATCTCTCGGGAGTTGTCGAGCCGCGAGTCCTCGTCACCACTTCTCGCGATCCCAGCAGCAGACTAGGTCAATTTTCGAAAGAGATCCGGCTTCTTCTTCCCACGAGCATACGACTGAACAGAGGAAATACCATCTTGCCCAATCTTGTTGGCAGTGCCAAAGCCAACGGTCTCTCCGACCTGATCCTCCTCCACGAACATCGAGGCACACCGACCGCGCTCACAATCTCACACTTTCCCCATGGCCCAACAGCCTCGTTCAGCTTACACAACGTCGTCCTCCGCCACGATATTCCCAACGCATCCCGCGGAACCGTCAGCGAAAGTTACCCTCATCTCATCTTCGAAGGCTTTACTACTGCACTCGGAAAGCGCGTAGTCAAAATCCTTCAACACCTCTTCCCTCCCCGCGAAGGCGGCACCAAGCTCGGATCCCGAGTCGTCACATTCAAAAACATCGAAGACAGCATCGAAGTTCGCCATCATGTGTTTGTCAAGACAGGGTACCAGAGTGTGGAACTGGCAGAGGTCGGACCACGAATGACGATGCGGCTGTTCGAGATCAGGCAAGGTACGGCGGAGAACAAAGATGGTGATGTAGAATGGCATATGAACCAGTACACACGGACGAGCAAGAAAAAGGACTACTTGTGAAGGAAGCAAAACTGTGGCAGAGATATCAAGATTCTCCCACGCGGAGACAATTCAGTGCTGGGAGCTGGAAATGCTCGTGCGAGTGAATTGCGAAACGATGCAAAGTCAGGTCTTGGGCGAAAGAAAGTGGGATTCGCAGGAGGTTTAAGCAAAGATTGAGGTCTACGAATGCACGACGTGTGTGGCTCCAGGCTCTCAGGTGGCCAGACAGCGCATGCACACTGTAGCGCTATTGGCGGGGCTTTTTGCACCGGGCCACACCTGGGCTGGAGCGAGCGTGATGCCCATCAATAGCGCAGACTTGGAGACCAGTGAGACGTGGCCGTACTCGAGAAACGGGCGGCCTCCTCCACGAAGGCCGGAGGAACGTCGGCCATGGAAACATCCAGGCACTGAAGCGAAGCTTCTCCAAGGCTCGAAGGAGGCGATTATGAGTGTTGAAGCAAGTGAGAGGAAGGACATACGAACGCGTGAAGATCGTGTACTGCAAAGAAATTGCATTCATGGCTTCTTCTGCTCAGTTTCACTGACAGCCAAGGAGCTGATTCAAAGGATAAAGAATTACGAAAATAGGATTACGCCGTGTACTGTAGAGCGTCTCCAAGGGTCGATGTTCCAGTCTTCCCATCGTATTCGCGATAGCAATCGCAGTTGTTGCGCCACAGCGCAGTAGGTCATTCTTCTTCACCAGTCGTCAATCTCATCAACCCAGATCTCGCCTCCTGTTTCCATTCCGTCTTCTACTTTGGCAGCAGCGCCTCCTTCTCCTCATCCACATAAAGCCTCTTCATCTCTCCCAAACACTTCTCTGTCATACCTCGCGCTCCCAATCTCCTCACATCCTCCTCTAAAACCTCTTGCCTCAGCTTCTCTCCGTTCCAGATCAGCCCGAAGCTCGCATGACTCCATGCATTGACGCTCCCAACAGCGCCCTGCAGAATCACAGATCGAATGATGAAGTTTGGGGCCATCGGCGACCAGAATGCCACGATACAAAAGAATGCAGCAGACCAGAACAGCTGCAAGTACGTTGCGATGGTCCTCGCCTGGGGCAACAACTTGCGGACTGCTGCGGAAGAGATCATGACTTCGCCATTATCCGCGCTACCGTCGCAGGTTGAGCGAATCTTGGATTGCATCCACAGCCCGAATCCCACAATCTGCACCAACGGCACAGCGATCATGGTGGCGATAAGCACACACATCATTCCCATGACGCGGATTCCAAGTTGGAACCAGAAGCCTTCGGGGTATTGCGTGTCTTTGTTGGAGACATCATCATAGATCTCCCAGCTGCCGAGGATGACGTCTACGGTCCAGATACAGGTTGCGAGAAGGGTGAAGAGGACTGAGATTGCGAATTGGCGCTTGGAGAAGTGGTGGAGGAGGGCCTCGCGGGTGGAGAGAAGAATAGATGATTGAGAAGAGGGAGAGGATGAGAGCTCCGAGCGGACTTTGAGGACGTTGATCAGGGTTTGGAAGCTGAGGATTACAGCGGATGTGAGCAGGAAGGAGATCTGTAGTATCTGAAGTTAGCTACGCGGTACTACTGCTTGTGCGACTCATTTGCGTGCGCTCTTTCTAGGTTATAGCTGTCTGTGGGTTGTAGGTGACGAAGGGACTTCTGTTGCTCCTCTTTCACGAGACTTACCACCACCAAGCTTCCATTCTCAAGGTCCGGCAGCGTTCTGTACGTCCACTGCTTCCTCCATTCTTCCGAGAACACGTCTTCGAACATATTAAGAGGTCGTTCAGGTAGTCGCGTTGGAGGGGCGTGGGAAGTGGCTCGAGCCTGCGAGCTGCTGAAATGAGGGTTGCGGTCCTTTCGTACTGATCTTTGAGGCCGAGGCTCAGTTCAAGAGCCGCCAGCAGCCGAATGTTAGGGAAGTATCGTGGTCGAGTTTGAGAACACAGAGGCTGCTGCTGCGGCTGAGGCTGTGTGGGTGAGGTCGCCGAGGGTCAGCCAAGGATGGAGATGGAGCTATGACGTGCGGAATCAATTCCTGCCTGAGGCCACGACAAAACACTTAAGAGCACGTTGAATCGATGAATCGCTGGATTGATCATGTGCAGTCTGCAAAGTACTTCCGATTGAAGATGAAGCTAGGGGGTATGCCTTGATACATGTGGATGTACGGGCTCAACGCGATATTCAGGCACATAACTTTCTTCGTCCTGCGTGCTGCCTCGATGCAGCATGTCGGACCTTTGGCCTCTTGGGAGTCTTGCATGTTTCGCCAAACATTGATCTCTCATTGCTGCCCCCTCTTGAGCACAGCAATGACCAGCCATCGCTTGCGCTCTGTATGGTCTTCCCTACCACCATCCCGCTCCGGTGACCACTCCCTTCTCACGCCCTTCGCGTCTTCCTCATATATATCCTCGATATCGAGGCCTCGTGCAACAGCCTCCTCGAAGAATCCAGCCAGCTTCGCGCGTCCAGTATGGAACCCTGCAATGGCAAGCACTCTCGCTGCCGGGTCAAGGCTCAACATGTGTAGCATGCTTTTGACCAGGTTCTCATGCTGATGCGGCATCCAATAGCAATCTGCCGCAATGATTCGACCAAAGGAATGCGCATTCTGCTTCGCGAAGTCCGACTCCACATCGCCCCAAGCGTAGCCCTGCACAGCACATTGACCTGCTAAAGACTCGGGAACCGCGTGCTTGACATTTCTTCGGATGTTGTCCAGTAACACGTCCGCTGGATAGTCAGATATCACGGTATCACTTGCTCCTGCGAGACAGGCTACAATGCCGCCTAATCCAACACCTACCGTATTGGCAATCAGCCAGTTCTTGCTAAATGCACGTCTGCAGAAAGGGGTGGAGATGCTGAACAAGGGTTTGTCCCACCTGCTCCGAGTTCGAGGACTCGTTTATCTTGTACACGCCAGCGTTCGTCAGACTCGTGGCTGATCATCTCGGCCATTTTTAATCCCGCATTCCACAGATATTGCGCGAAGAGTCGGCGATGATCTTCTTGCCGAGGATCTGCAGTGCGAAGTTCGACATCGCCAAAGCGGGCGCTCTTATAGACGAGCAGACTGCGGTCGTCGCCGTGGAAGTTTCGCAGGTCGTCGGGGAAGATGAGGCCGGCAGCGAAGGAGAAGATGTCCTCGGGTTCTTCGTCGTCAACGTCGGGCGACACAACTCGGACGAGATCTGTGAGAGACATCGTCATATGTTTACACACGCCGATGCGACCCAGAGGGGTGGAAGCGACAGTAGATTGTCGCAGGCGTTGCAGAGGAAGCTTCGATTTCGGCCTTGGCGATCCCTCTTGTCGAGCACCCCAGCTCCATGTCGGACCTTCCAACGTCACTCTTCATGCTCCAAAAGCAACGTCCCGAGCTTTGACGGCAACGCGGATCTCAAATAGCATCCCCTCACTGGAGTATTGCAGCTATGCTTCTCTGGGTGGTGTCGTAACACGAGTAGGAAAACCTCATATTCCACAACTTCTAACAAATCAATCTCATTCCTACCTCTCTCCATTTTCGCAGGCAACTCACAAGAACCGAAATTATGGGCTCCGCCGACCAAGAGAAACCACTATATACCCTCCTCTCCGCCACCCCATCTCCCTATGCCCGCAAAGTCCGCATCTCACTTCTAGAAAAAGGCATTCCCTTCAAGCTCCAGACAGAAGTCCCATGGGACAGTGATACCCAAACACCCAACTACAATCCATTAGAAAAACTCCCGGTCCTCATCGATAATGCCACAGGCAAATCTGTATACGAAAGCGCTTTTATTCTAGAATGGATTGAAGTCAAGCACAAAGATCGCGAACCGAAATTGATCCCCGCGGATGATGAGGAGAGATTACAGGTTAAGGAGATCGAAGTGGTCGCTGATGGTTCGTGTTGTTTCTCATCTCCGGCTTCGTCCTGCACATCTTCTTGGTCGGCTCTTGCCATTCCCAGATGTCGTAATAGCTGGACGTTGCCTCCATAGCACTCAAAAGGCCCCTCTGCCATTGATTAGCTGACACTTCTCCCCCTCTATCCAGGAATCTGTGACGCCCTCGTCCTCCTCATCTGGGAACGCAACCGCTCCAAAGAAACCCAATCCGAGCCCTGGGCAGCCCGCCAAACCCGCAAAGTGACTGGCGGAATCAAGGCTCTAAATAAGTGGTTCGTTCATCCTCTTTCATCTTCCTCTCAAGCGGTCAGCCCCTGCTGTTCCTCCTCACTGACTTACTCAATTGCTTCCACAGGGTCACGTCCCGCCCCGACCCCTCCTCCCCCTACGTTCACGGCTCCAAACTCAGCATCGCCGACTTGGCAATTTGCGCTGTCCTAGGTTTCATGAACGTACGATTCCCCGATCACGAATGGCAAACCCAATATCCAGAATTGAAATCTTACTGGGAAGAACATGAGAAGCGAGAGAGTTTCAAGGCGACTGTACCCGTGGCCCAGACGTATAAGGATAAGATTGTATAGCAATAAGACGAATCGAAGTAAGCGGACTCAATATTTGTTGTATCGCGTGAAGGGCGACTGCGTAGCTGAGCGCCCTTCCGGCGCATCGAGGCACAACAGGCAACAGAGGGAGCGCGAGATCGAAGAGGTACGAAAATGGGGAAAACGAACGATACATGCTAGGATAGTACTAACTATGACCTAGTATTGACCACCCTGTTGCGTCGTCCCTCGAATTCCACGCCTTTCGATCTTCCCCTTCCAATTCCGAATCTCAGCACCAACTTGTGAACATGCCTGACTCTGAGCCACAGCCGACTTGAAACTGTCACTCCTCTAGCAGTCACCATCGAAAGCAGGCTTGGCTCCAATGTAGAAGCAGATATTGGCCATCTTCCTGTATTCCTCGGCGGTAGTTGCGCAACAGGTTCCCGCATCCCCTTGCTAAAGAAGCGAAGAAATTGCGTCAGTTCACCTCTTTTCCTGGAACAAAAAGGAAAAAAAAAACATAAAGGCTCTGTGTTGTGATGAGCTTGAAGAGGGAGGAGGACGAAGAACTCACCAATTTGATGCCGTTGTCGGAGCATCCCTTTGTAACGTCTGCTGGGTTTGCACCTCCTACACACCAGGCCCTTTGACCTGCGAATGCGGGAACGGCTCCCAGAAGGGCGGCAGCGATGATGGCGGCGAACTGCATGGTTGGAGTTGTAGGAGTTGAGGAGGTTTTGTTGCTGAGACGGTTTAATGTTAGAGAATTGGGGCTTCGTCGTTTGTTCGATATTGGAAAGCCGTACCTGATGTTGTTGATTGTTGTGAGGGCGATGGAGCTGGATGATTCGAATAAAAGTCGGTACATCTGTCTAGTTATGTACTGTGTCCTGCTGGCGGTCAAGATGCGCCCCCGGAGTCCGGATGGCCTCGGACGACACGATACGAGTGGCACGATGCTATAGCACGGATGGACATATTCTATGTATGGATGGCACAGACGGCAGGTCTTAGAGACAAAACGAGGGGCCACGATCGGACGAACAGCAGATTCTACTACTGACGCATGGCACGATGGCACGAACGGAGATTCTATGGAAATGGCACAGACGGCCAGGTCTTAGAGACAATACGAAGCGGCCGCGACGACCAGGACGTACAGCAGATTCTCCTGATGGATGGCATGGCATGGCACGGACGACCAGGTTTCACGGAGTAACTCTCATGGACCTCTTTGTTAGCGTTCTGGAAGCTCGTTCTGGACTCTGAACACCGCCGGGCCGTAGGTGTCGTCGCAATGTGTCCGTCACTTTGCCCATGTGTTCCTTGCATGGCAGTAGTGGTTATTGAGAAAGCGGCATGACAGCGGTATCCTCTCGCGCCGATGACGGTGGTAATGACCGTGATAGCCGCCAGATACTCTCTCAATAGATTCTAGCTGAAAGCGATACGTGCCTGCCCATTTTGACTAGTATCTATTGGCTATACTACTGTACGACTGACACCATGTGTATGCGTTCACTTCACTACCGACGACCTGCCGAACATAAGCGCTAAGGTCGTTTATCGTCGTTCAGCACCTTCTGACTAAACTGCATTGAGGAGTGACCTTAGCTAATACTTTCTGTATCCACCCTATGCCTCACCGCTGCCAAACAGTGTTCTCTTGTCGTGTGTGTAATACTGTTTATGTATCTGGTGATATCAGGCATGCCGTTATATCTCAATCACCTTCGTGAAAATCATCGTTTCATAGAGTCGGAGACAGAGATTGCATAGAAAGGCGGCAGAATCAAGCACTCTGCAGAATGGCTTAGTCAAGGGGCATCAGCGCTAGCAGGGAGTTTTGAACTTTACTTACACCTACGTTCCCCCTAGCTAGGACCCAGCTACCCGGGTTTTCGGGCTTTTGTCAGTATCATGCCACCTCCTCGCGAAGCGCGGGACGCGTGGGAGAATAGTATGCCGAGCTACTTCATAGCTGTAAGAGTTGTAGACCAACGTGATTTTGTCGGATTGTCGAACTTCTATCTGCAAGATTGCCAAGTTGGGGAGTCTGTATGAACTCCTATATCTTCAGCTAAGCCTTTAAGTTGTACGTGCGTGCTGTGCTCAAAAATTGCAAATGCCCTGACCGCCTTGAGCCGCGAAAGGATTGAAGCAGTCTCTACTGCACTATTGAAATCGTTAGCTTCGAGGTTCCGAATCTCGCAACAAAGGATCGCGTTTTGAGATCGATCTGTCGCAACTTACGCAATCGTCATTCGTTCTGCAGCCTCCTTGCCCGCCTCGTCCACAACGACCATCACCGCAGTCTTGCTGTAGAAAGCCACATGGGGCTCTGCAGAAGCCGTTGGTACCACAGACTTGGCCTTCATTGCACTGTACCACCAGTCGTTAGTATATTGAGAGTTGTGGGTGAAATCTGCATGTATGGGATTTTTGAACGTACGCATGAAGTTCGACATGTGAATTGGGGCGTTGAGCATGTTGCTGGAGCCTGGCAAGTTCCTGAGGCGCAGAGATTGCCGTTGCAGCAGTCCCCATCTGCGGTGCAAGAGTCGTTGAGTTCTTTGCATGGGACGATGCATTCGCCATTGGTACCGCAGGTGTTACCGGTTGGACACTGTGGTCATTGTTAGCTCAAATGGAATTACCGCAGGGAAGAGGAAGAGGAGCTGCATACGCAATTGCTGCCGCAATCGACAGGAGTTTCGGAGGGGCATGTACAAGCCTGGTTGGTGCAGGTGGTCTTTGGAGCAGTGCACTGTAATTGCGGTCAGTGAAACGCCAATCTCGACTTTGGTCTTCATGATCAGGCTGACCATGTTTGCGCAACTTCCGCAAGTGTTCGGGTCGTTATTGCTCACACACTGGCCATTGCAGAAAATATTTCCTGCTTCGCATTCGCAAGTGCCGCTGTTGCATGTTTGATCCGATGCACACTGTTCGATCATGAGTCTTTGGTTCCAACAGACCATCCCAATATCCCTTACCTTGTTGCTGCAACTGCCACACGTGTTTGGATCGGCTGGATCGACACATCGACCGCCACAGAAGATTTTACCATCATCGCATTGGCAAGTGCCGGACGAGCACTTCTGATCCGCTGCGCACTACATATTGGTCAGAACAACCAGATGCCGACCAAGACTCCCGGAGATTGGCAAGCTGACCTTATTCGTGCAACTGCCACAAGTATTCGGATCGGTGGAATCGACGCATTTGTTATTGCAGAAGAGTTGACCACTCCCGCATTGACATTTACTGCCAATGCACTTCTGCGGAGATGGGCACTGTTCCCTCGTCAGCATGACGCCCTTTCTACCAATCTCTGAAGCCGGGTTACGCTACCTTCGTTCCGCAAGCACCGCAGTTCTTGGAGTCCTTCGTCGTGTCCACGCAGGTGTTCCCACATGGTAATTTCGGACACTTGCTTAATGTACCGCAAGCCTTCGGACAGCAGGTACTTTTGACGCAATCACAGAATGCTTTGATCTTCGCGTAAGGTGTGGATTTGAGTGCTTGCGGACACTTTTTGCGGTCGAGCCGGTTGCTTGCTGGGAGGGATTGGCAGAATTTCTGGACGGAGGCGTCGTTGCCTATCAGCTTTAGAAGGAAGGCGTTTTCGGCTGCATGTTCGTTAGAATGCTGGAGTTGTCGGGCAGCACTGGGACCTTACTTGAGGAGCAGGATGTGGCCCAGGCATTAGTACAAGACAATGCCAGCCCGATGAGGATACCCAGTTGTACCATGATGGATTTCGACTTCCGAAGATGTCCCAAAGCTGTGGTGAAGATGAGAGCTAGACGTAAAGTATCACTTCAGGGAACACAAATGGTTATGAGAGACCTTTCCCTCACCCAGCACGAGAGCGGCCTACCTCAGCCAGCCACAGTCCCGGAATGCGTATCATTTCGCTACAGCTAGTCGCTATCAGGACACTAGCTGCATTCAATCCCAAGATGAAACCTGGGATGGCGTCGATGCCTCGGAGCCAGCAGCGCACTTGCGGCGTGTTAGCGCTGCTGTTACATGGGAAAGGAAGTCGAGATCCGGGCTTGGACTGTTTAGCTTCAGCCACCAGCACACGTGCCACACTTTCACACGTGGTTAAAACGGATCGTGCTGCATTGTCCATTAGTCAAGGATGGGATGCTAGCAATGCGCAGAGCAGCGGACGGGAAGATCTACTCCTATTGACCTGCACAAAGATTAACAGTACTACTGTACCACAGTACCGTCCAAGAAACCACAAAAGCAAAGGTTTAGGGGATCGCCACCAATCCGGGATATCAGTACCAACGACTAGAATCCGGATTTAGTTTCATGACAGAGAGGCTTCCGGACAACACCCCGAGCGGACGAGATGCATAGCTTCCACGCATCTGCGATCATTCGTGCCAGATAAGAATATCTCTCCCGAACGTTTAGGAAACGACAGTGAAAGACGCTCAAGCACCGCACCACCACACGAGTGCCGCCCATAGTGAACAGCAACTTTCACACGCTTACAACATGGCTCAGTTGCTCGCCCAGACGACGATGAACCAGCCGAAAGCAATAACAGAGCCCCCAGGACTGGCAGAATGTGTCGCCGAAGCTACGCAGCACGCAGCCGATCCATCACAATTCTACAACGACAACAACTTGCCTCCCAAGGCGATGGTCCTCTACGACGAACTCGGCAACGCTTCAAAGACAGGAGACTTGGCCGCTGTGAAAAGTGGCATTGGCCAAATCTCGGGCCGAGCTGGGGAAGAACAGCCACTGTCGACTTGAGAATGCTCTTCGATCCGCTGTCAGACGGCAGCAGTACGCCGT